TCTAGGACTGAAGGTCTAGCTGAAAGCAGCAGCATCTCTCCCACTTGACCTCCAAAGCCACTTGCCAGCAAACTCTCAGCCTCTCTGTTTCCTGGGAGAAGTCAGACACCAGTTCGCCCTGTCCACCCTGACTGTGCGAGCTCCTACCAAGGATTCTGCAGAGCCCACTGGTGGATCCTGCCCCCAAATACAGAACTAGATGGGTTTTATATACTTCTTCAGCTTCTTAAGGGAAGGAAAGTTTTTTGACTTGAATTCTTCCTAAGAGACTTTGTGTGTAATTCATATTTTTACATCTTTATTTTTCTTTTCCATACCCCTGATCAGACATTCCTTTGATGACCACAAACATGGTCATAAGTTATCCACTTACTGGGGCTTTACCACAGATTGGTCCATACAGTTGTGGGGATAACACGCATATTCACTACAGTAGGAATTAAGCCATCACGTAAAGTTTAACACATGCAGTCCCTACCATTAGCACTGTTCTTTAGTATTCTTGCTGTGCATATGCAAGCTAAATGACCTTAAGATTTGATGTCTCCAATGGCCCATCTAAGTACCTATAAAACCTAGTAACAAATAACATTTTTGTCCCAACTTTGCTTATGCTAAATAGCTGTGACGATCCAGTTAGAGGAGGGTGGAGGGATAAATGATTTTTAAATGTTATTTTTGCCAAGATCTGCTAATAGTAGTTTCATAATTCTTCACATATGCCTGGTGAGCAGAAGAGTTTTAAACAGAAAGATCAAAGTCCATAGGAAAAGTTTTATTTCAGTTTCCTTAGAATTTAGACCATCCTGTAAAAAAAAACATGGGATTGGGGCGCCTGAGTGGCTCAGTGGGTTGAGGCCTCTGCCTTCGACTCGGGTCATGATCCCAGGGTCCTGGGATCGAGCCCCACATCAGGCTCTCTGCCCAGCGGGGAGCCTGCTTCCTCCTCTCTCTGTCTGCCTCTCTGCCTACTTGTGATCTTTGTCTGTCAAATAAATAAAATCTTTAAAAAAAAAAAAAAAAACATGGGATTTCTTCAAGGTAAGTAAGTAGTACTCACAACAGACTGAGACAGAGGAACTACAAAGGAAAGCTCCAATGTGTATGAACAATTCTGTTTGGAGGTAACACTGATCAGGTGGGCCAGTATAATTAAATGGTCAAGGTGACAAGGAATTAATCTGAAAGAACTCATAAGAATCCCTAAAAGAAGCAGTTCCCTGAACTGGCTGTGTCAGAACCATCTAGAATAGTAAGTTCCCCAAGTGAACCAGACAACAAACCTGTCTGCACCTGAGAAGGCTACTAGTCTACCCAATATCCATCCTTTGCTTCTTCTTAGTAACAGAACACTGATTTTATTGGTGGTAGTATATCCAGCTAGAAGCAACATTTCCCAGCTTCTCCTGCAAGTTGGTGCGGCCATATGACTCATTCTGACCAGTGAATGTAAGTAGAAATTGTTATATGTTCTTTCTGAGAAAGTTCCTTTATGGGGGATGAAGAGCTAGGTGTGAATTTTTTGTTTTCTACCCGTTCCTCCCTTCTGCTATGTGGAATTAGACTTTAAGACTCGATTTCTCTAGGAAATGTCTTAGAACATGAAGTCATCTTCAAGTCAGAAGCCACAGATGACAGACTGAATCCCCAGTGACCAGGCACTGACATGCCAGCCCCACATGGCGTCTTCCACATTCTTTCATAGGAAAGAAAGTAAAGCTGACATGTTTAGGTGCCTGTTATATACCATCAAAGCCTAAACACAGTGATACTGGCATTTCCTTGGCCTTACCAGATCCCAAAAGACGACTTTCATTTTCACTCACCTGTAACTATCTCAGCAATGCCACCTGGTTGCCAGTGATAGCAGCATGTCCTTTGGAAATGTTAAAAGACGGGGGAAACGCCCATCTCAGAATTAATGGGAACAGGTCTTCAAGTTTTTAGCTCCTCCTGCTGCCTTGGCCTACCTGAAGTCCTCCTAGTAAAGCCCCTGCTTATGAGACATACGGAAGTTGGGAGCCTCCAATACAGGAAGTTCAATGGCCACCAGGGAGTGCCGTGTGCACAGTCAGCACAGAAAGGCCGCTAAGGGAAATAAATGCAAACTTGCTCAGCTATTGCAAGCCACAGCTGGGAGAAGGCAAAGTGTCAGTGAGAACGCAGCTGTAACAACATCTGGGTGAGGAAATTTATTTTTTGCAGGGTTAAGAACCTCTTGTCCTCTGATGGACCTTAAAGAAACGGAGAGAGAGTCTGGAAATCATGGTAGCCCACTGATAAAAAACCACAGTGAGCTGCCAAGGAAATCAATGGCAATCAGAGCGTAGGAGCAGACTGGCAGTCCGTCCCCTGGCACAGGCAATCCATGATTAGCTCTGGGAAGACACCTACCCTAAGTATCTGGTAAGTTCCTAGTCCTATTTTGGGTCTTCTCAATTAATTCATTTTTAAAAATTTGAGCTCTGCTGAATGAAAGCCTTGTAGACATAGCAGGGTTTCCTCAGCATCTCAAGATCATTACAAAATGCCAGTCGGGGACCGTCAGATGCCTGGACTCCCACATTGGTCATTTTAGGTAATTGCCATAGAAATGAACGTGGCAGGGTTGGACTCATCAACTGAAGAAGAAATTATCCTGAAGTAGGGTAAAGCCGTGTTGCATCCACACATTTACGCATACTGACATACAGGTAAAGGAAAGGAAATAATATTCTTCTAGAAGGAACGAGGATAAATATTAGACTTAAAACTAGGAAGTTAATTCCGGAAGCTGTGGGTGAATTATTATTGATATGAGCTATTTTCTGCTAGGAAAAATAGTAGTGTCTGGAGACTACTTAAGGTAAAATGAAGCCATTAGAACTTCATTCTTCTCTGCTACTAGAACTGCATGCCTGTGCCCTCTGCCACGTGACTGCAGCACTTCCTACCACACTGGTCCGACCTAGATGACCCCCAGCTGGAAGTGGGCCACCCAGCAGAGCCCAGGGTGCATCAGGGGAACCTCGTCTGCAGACCTGGGAGCCTGAGAATAACCAGCTGTGAGCCGCAGGTTCTTTGGTGGGTGGTTTCTCCACGTCAGCATAGCTAATGGGGTCAGCTACATCCACCAAATATTTGTGTTGAAATCCTGACCCCCCAAAGATGATGATATTAGGAGAGGGGACTCTGAGAGATGTGAAAGTCCTTAAGGTGGAGCCCACATGATTGGGATTAGTGCTCTTCAAAGAGGCTCCAGAGAGCTCCCTTATCCTTCCCCTGCAGGATACCGCAGCAAGAAGGATGCTATCTATGAACCAGACACCAGATCTGCCACTGCCTTGATCTTGGACTTCTGGACTCCAGAACTGTGAGAAATAAATCTGTTATTTATAAGCCCCCGAGTCTGGGGTAGTCTGGATGGGCAAAGACAGGGTCTGATTCAGTACTCAAAAAAATGCCAGCTAGTAGTAGGCATTTTTTTTAAAGTTCGATAATGCAAAAATAGAAGGACATAACCCCCAAAATTATGCATTGAAATCATTGTTGGTGTGTCATAGTAGCATCTTTAAAGTTTGCAAATTACAGAATCTTCAACTGGTATCATGAAAGCCTCGGTATAAGACACACTAACTGGTTTTTTGAATTGTTATCTAGGGTAATTTAAATGCAATCATGGTTTTCCATATCCTACCTTCTACCTGCAACCATACCCTCCAGTAAGTAGCAATTTTCTTTTTGGGCCTTTATGCCCTATTGCCTTTTGTTCTCCCTCATAGTTGAAGAAAATGGTCAAAAGATCAACAGGTGGAGAGAATCATATAAAGCACCTGGATTGCCCACATGCACAATGATCTACACCAAATGAGAGTTCGTTAAACTGTCTTGTTTTAATATCATGTTGTACATAGCTTCTTAACCCAGACAAACAATCTGTGCTTTTAAAAGGTAAAGATTATTTCTTAAGACGGAATGTAAACAGATTAAAGGATAAAAATTGATTCTACGTTTACTGATTAATCTTTACAGTATTTATTTGCTAAACATCTTTGCAATAAACATATCACCAACTTCCTATTTCTCTCTCTCCTCATAATGCCAGATACATGGAAGTCACTCAAAAGGATACATATTAAAATGAATAATGAAGGACACAATGCACAGCTTCAAAGGCGTTTCCTATTTGGTCAAACAAGAATTTTTTTAAGTTTCTTTAAGTTGTCGGTCATAAAGTGAAATCGACATTAACAGACACGTTAAATGTTGATCTAATCTGCGTTATTGCTGTGTGACACCACCTCACGGTCTGTAGGAAAATGTGATTCCTGAGATCATTGTTGGCTTTTATCCATCACTTGCCTCACTGTCAATCATCTCTCCTGAAGTGACGTGGGAGTGTGAATTGGGGTTAGGATGCTCAATTGCAGACCAGCTTTCTAGAGCAGCTAAAGGAGCGAATAGGCCCTATCACCTAAAAGATGTACAAAAATAACCATGGTGTGTGGAAGTTGTTTTCAAGGTATGCCATACAACAAAAATGTAGACTGAACACAGAAGTCTTTTCTGATCACTCTCAGTCGTCCATAAGGGATGTGTTTTCTAGTTAATCAGTCCTTGACATTCTGCAGTCCATCTGTTATTTTTCATTTATTTAAAATATCCTCTGCTAAATAATCGTGTTTATTTTTAAAAGTAAATTGCTTAAAATTACATTCAGTTTCTTCCTACAAGCCAACATAGTCTCTCCCTTCACAACACAACACACGGTATCCTGAAGCTGAGGAGCCCCAGCCGCACACGTTCTGCCGTGTGCTATGGTGCGATTAGAGCCTAAGTCATTAAAAATAGCAAGTCTGGATTTGTGTGGGATCAGGGAGAGCTTTCACTAAGAGATAAAGTATGAGATAAAGTCTGAACTTAGTAGGGCTAACAAAAATTTACTGGTATCATAATTCACTTTTTTTTCAGAATGCTTTTTTTTATTTTTTTTTAAGATTTTATTTATTTATTTGACAGAGCACAAGTAAGAGCAGCAGCAGGCGAGGGAGCAGCAGGCTCCTCACTGAGGAGGGGAGCCTGACGCGGAGCTCGATCCCAGGACCCTGGGATCATGACCTGGGCAGAAGGCAGACGCTCAACCGAGTCACCCAGGAGCCCCTAGAATGGTTTTTAAAACAATCCTCCAAGTCCCTGACCGGTATATGAGGCCTTGGAATCACTTCTATCTGTGTTGTATACATGCCAATCCTCTTCTACATTTGAATGAAAAGCACTGGAACGAAATTAACTGAAAGAAAACCACTCTGAAACCGCCTGAGCTTTTGAGCCCGCCATGGAGGTTTAAGGGCTTATAGGACCTAGCTTGTATTTTCCTCTGGGTCTGGGTGTCTAAATGATTGTAGAATGCATGAAACATGAAGAAGTGAGTATTAACCAAAGATCCCGTATACCAGCCTTTCCCAAGGGAACCAAAAACACTTTGAAACAATTCTCACAACAAGTAACGGCCTATTTAACAGATCTGAAACCAATAATCAGTTTTCTTGACCTACAGTTGAAAACAAAATTATCTTTTAACTAAATAGGATAAGCTTAAAAATCCCTTTGGAGATGTTTTTATTTATTAAATGCCTTCATTAACAACACCATCTTTCATTTCCCATTACTCCAATTCGATTTCTCCTGCATACAAAGTAATGAGCAGAATGGCTGTGAATCCAGTTAACATTCCAGCATTCTGAATCATGAAGTAAGTAAAATCGGTTTTTCTTCCAGTTATCTTTTCTCTCAGCATATCGTTCATCTCTGGAAACTAAGAGAGAGAGAGAGAGAGAGAGACACATTGTTAGATAACTGTTGCCATCTGGTGGTAAAACGTAAAACAGTCACCTAGAGATTTCTTTGGGGGAGGCAGTTAGGATTTAATTCAGATGTGTATATGTTCAGTATAGAGAGCATTAAAGGGATATGTCGCCGTATCAGACACCAACAGGAATAAAAGTATGGAAATAGTGTTCCCCAAGTGAGTGAATCTGTGAGATGGGATTTACCTCATCTAACGCCTCCTATCTGTCTCTCTTTGTCTGTCTCTCTCCCCCCTACTCTCTATGCTCCATCCACACCATTCGTTCAGGACCTCACATGCATCCATCCTCTTTCCAGCGTCAAAATCTTCACACCTACGCAAACTGCTATCTGAACTCTTCTGCCTCCAATTTTTCAATGAGCTACATCCTTGAGGTTTCAGCTTAAATCATACTTTGTAGGAAGGCCTCCCTTAGGCCCTCCTACCTTACATTAGAATCCCCTAACATCATCTCTCACCACATATATTGCATTTCCTCTTAGCTCACAGATTTTTTTACTTGTAATTACTTAGTCATGGAGTGTGATTTTGTTCACTGAATTTCTAGTTTCCTCTCTTTAAAGACAGAATGCCCCACAGATGCAGGGACTGTGCCTCCTTTGCTCACTCCAGTGTCTCCAGTGCCTTACAAATTCCAGGCCAGAAACTGTGGATACGGCTGAGATGCCCTTCAACAGACGAATGGATAAAGAAGATGTGGTCCATATAAACAATGAAATATTACTCAGTCATCAGAAAGGATGAATACCCAACTTTTGCATCAACATGGATGGGACTGGAAGAGATTATGTTGAGTGAAATAAGTCAAGCAGAGAAAGTCAATTATCATATGGTTTCACTTACTTGTGGAGCATAAGGAATAGCATGGAGGACATTAGGAGAAGGAAGGGAAAATGAAGGGGAGGAAATTGGAGGGGGAGACGGACCATGAGAGACTGCAGACTCCGAGAAATAGAGCATTTTAGAGGGAAAGGGGTTGGGGGGTATAGATTGGCCCAGTGATGGGTCTTAAGGACGGGACGGATTGCAAGGAGCAGTGTGTGTTATACGCAAATGACGAATTGTGGAACACTCCATCAAAAATTAATGATGTACTGTATGGTGATTAACATAACATAATAATATAAAATTAAATAAATTCCAGGCCAGGAACATAACAGCAATCAATAGTAGCTGATTAAGTTAATTTTTAGAAATCACTATGCATTTAATTCCTGTTCTCTTCAATTTGTTGCCTTCTGCTTGCTCTACCCTCACAAAATCTTACGGCTTTTAAATAAATCATGTGCTGTTATTGAAGGCTGTAACAATCTCCTTACTATGAAGGCAATTAAAACTCTAAGTTCTGTGCTTAAAATCTACCCTCACTCAGTGAATAAACTCTACAGAAAAGGTTCAGTAAGATCTGTAAATGTCAGCTTTCTAAAACATATTCCAAAACGATGGGCTATATATACAATGGCACAATGTACCAAAGAACCAAAGAGGTCTCCAGAATCCCACCAATCCATGTGCCTGATTGAAGAAGCTGTTACCAGGATCAAGTGAGTGAAAGCTGTGAAACTACTCCAAAAAAAAGCAAAACTGCTGTAAGGGCATACAGCATCATTTATTAGCATTATTTCCTTAGACTGAACACTTCTAATAGATTCCATTCTTATAACAGAGAAAGAAGTGATGCCCTAGCACAGATACAATATGAGACATTAATTCTGTGAAGAAAAATATAAATGCAGTGACGGTTCCCCGAGACGAAATGCTTGCTCCGATAAGGGCCTGCAAAGAGCAAGGAACAGAGCTAGACAGTTACCATTTGGAGCTTAGAATGCAGATGAAGGAAGCTAAATTACTAAATTATGTATGTAATACATATTCAGTTCCAAATGCAAAGGAAATGTTCCTTGATTTGTATATATGGAACACATTTTCATTTTCTAGAAAGCTGTCCATGATTCATTTGAAAATGCAAGGGCACAGGACTATTGATATTCTCCCTCTTACACACATACGCGCACACACACACACACACACACACAAACACATAAATAAAGACGTAGACAGAGCACCAACATAAACAAATACAAATATATACTGACCCAAGTCGATGTTGTCCAATTTCAATTTACCAACTTTAGTTCAACCCAAAAGGCTCCCACTGTTTAGAACTTTGAAATAACAAAATGCTATTTACTCTAACAACTTATTCCCTTCTAAATTTAACATCCTCACCAAAGAGGGGGGAGAGGTCCCATGGGGACATTAGAAAACAGGGTTTACCTCCCACAAAGCAAAAAACCTGGGAAAATCTCTCTACTTTAACAGAAGCACATCATTTCTTTTTCTACCAATAAGATCCTAGATCAAAAGATCAGTGAGAATAACTTTCAAATTACTGCTAATACAAGTTGTCTGTTGAATCAAGAATGTTTCAAATTACAACAGAATTTCCACACTGTGGGAAGCAGAAGGTTACCCTTAGTCAACTCATAACCCAGATGTTTAATTCTAAATTTTAAGTTAAAATAAAATTTTAAAAATTTCTTACCATATCCGCCAGAGAAATATAGAGGAACATGCCTCCAGCAAGGGCAAATATAATATTTGGAGCAAAATTGTTGCCCACCAAAATGCCAAAAGCTAGCCCAACATAGCAGGAACACGCCGAAAGGAAATTGAATAACAAGGCTTGCCGAGTGCTCATTCCTGCGCTGAGTAGGATCACAAAGTCCCCTAGGAAAAGAAGAAAATACCAAGGGAATAGTTTTGGCTATTTTTGGATGAGAAAAGATAAGCATCAATGTCCGATCAGGGCTCCTCCATTTTGATGCATCAGTGGGATTTTTAAGAGTGTGTCGTCTAAAATGTCTCACTCCACCAAAACCAAGAAGTGACTTTCACAGTATGAACAGAGCCTGTTACCTAACTCATGAGGAAACTCTTCACACAGAATCGCTATAGAAGTACTGAGTCCCTGAAGAAGAGACACGGTGCAGGAAGCCCCAATCGCCAGGCCGTCAATGAAATTGTGGAGGGCATCACTGAGTGTTATCATCCAGGCAATGGTCCCTATTTTTGACAGTTTGGGTCCCTTCAAACAGGTACACGAACTTGACTCCGTTTTGCCATCCTGTAAAATAATAGCAAATCAATCAACAAAATAACCAACACTTTTTTTAGAGAGAGAGAAACTGAGAAAGAGTGCGTTCGCAGGAGCTGGGGGGAAGAGGCAGAGAGCAAGAATCCCAAGCAGGCTCCAAGCCTCAGCCTGACATGGGGATTCGATCTCACTACCATGAAATCACTACCTGAGTGGAAATCAAGAGGCCCACGCCCAACCCACTGAGCCACCCAGGAGCCCCAATAACCAACATTTCTTGAAAGTCTCAGAGATACACAGAAATAAGAGGTGTGTTATGTATTAAGAAAGACAAACGGTCCCAACAGAGAATCTTTCATAGTGGTTAAGAACTCCTAATCATTTATGACAACAAAAACTTATAGTAGGGAGAAAGGAAATGAATAGGTTGACAGCCCTTGAACAAGCCACTTAAAAGACATTTTACTCTGGTTTCCCCTTAAAAAAATCCTTTTGATTTGTATGAACAATTCTTACCACTGCCTTCCTAAAATGTAACAGATACTAACCTAAGAATTTCATTCATCTGCATACTTTAAAATAAAGGTAAATTTTTAAAAACTAAACTTGAAGACTTTTGCGTGTTACAATGTTCATGTGAAATCCATATTTAGAGCACAATGACATCAAAGAACATTTACTGCAATCCCTCCTAAGTTATCTGAGCAGGTAACCTGGGCCTCAGTTTCTTCAGTTGTGAAATGAAGATAATGTACTAAATGATTCATTTATTTCTCAATGACTTAAGTCTCCACTGTGTTCCAAAGTAGTGTGTCGGGTGATTAAGCTGTAACAACATGTTCCCTATCAGCTCTAAATTTCAGTGATTCTCTAAACACATTTCATGAAATGTGATTAGAACAGGCTTACCTTTGCACTAACACCTCTTTTCATTTTGGAGCAATAATAAAAACAGAAAATCCTAAAACAAACCCTTTGTAAGAATTTAGATTTCCATAAAATTTACAAAATCACATAAAATCAAATACCAAATGCCAACTGAAAGCATTTTCCAGAAATCATAGAAAAGATAATCAAATGCAAATTTATTTTTAAGTAGGGAAGCAATTTGCAATTAACTGGAGAACATTTTATTCCTAATTCTCCTCCCCTCAACTCTACCTCAGCAACTAATCAACATATTTACTGAGCATCTGCAATCTGTAAAACAGGGTGCTGGATGCTATGGGGAGTGCACAGAAGTGGAAAATACAACTTCTATCTTCAAGAAGTGTATTTAGGGGCACCTGGGTGGCTCAGTGGGTTAAAGCCTCTGCCTTCAGCTCAGGTCATGATCCCGGGGTCCTGGGATCGAGCCCCGCATTGGGCTCTCTGCTCAGCAGGGAGCCTGCTTCCCTTCCTCTCTCTCTGTGTGTGCCTCTCTGCCTACTTGTGATCTCTATCAAATAAATAAATAAAATCTTTAAAAAAAAAAAAAGAAGTGTATTTATATTGGAGAGACAAAATGTAAAGAATATGACTGACCATTTAAAAAATGTTCAGTACACACCCAGACGAGAAGGGCTGCCTTCCAAGCCATCATGGTGGAGGTTTGAGATTTATCCCAATGTCGCTTCATTGCTCAAAACACTTTGGTGACTCCTCTTTCAGAATGGACTAGATCTTGCCATACATCTTTTCACTGTGTCTTTAGTGGCAAAGCTTCATCTCTGGGGAAAGTTTTCGTGTGTAGACACAACCAAAAGCCATTTGGAGCCACTAAATTCTTAAATTAACATGGAAGGAGGGAGGATTGTTATTTGTAGGGGCAGTGGTTATGTAATAGCAGGGGCCATAATAGTTGTCGGGAGAGACACAGCAAAGGCATAGAGTATTTATCATGTGCCAGGCACTGCTCTAAGTCCTTGAGATATTCCACTCCTTTAGAACTATTCTGTGAATTAAGGTCTACTATTATCATCACTTTAGAGTTGAAGAAACTGAAACACAGAAACGCTGGTGAGCTTACCGAGGGATGCAAAAGAAGTAAGTCGACTATTTTTAGTAACTGTTTTACTACTCCAGACTTATGGTGGTGGGTGGACACTTACTGTACGAAATAGGCTCTGAAGACAATTCACAAGGAGAATGCCCCCTTCTCTCAAAAAAGTCTTCTAAACACTTGAAGTAATGTTGGAGTAAGTGTTCAATCTCCTTTCATTTTAAAGGTAAATCTCAGAGGCATAAAAAGAATTCCATCCAGTCTTCAAATGTGGTCTTTTTACTTTATAGTGTTAAAAGCTAAGCTGAGGTAAATTTAAAACTTTAAGAGTGTATTTGAAAAAACAAATTCAAATTATGCAGTGTCAAACCGGATATGGACAGGAGCACTCCATCAACAGGAGCTCAGGAAGAGGCTTTTACAGAGAAAAGGCAGAAGCAAGGCAAGAAAATTATTGATGGGCTGTAACTTAAAGCCCAGTTGGCTTTTTGTGACCAATTGTCTTTAGGTTTCAATGTCATAACCTTGAGACATTTACAGCTTAGATTTTGGTTTGTTTACATAAGCTGCCAAGGCATTAGAGCTACCCCAGTTTAATTAATTGAACAATTGCTCTATCATAAATGGACAACATAATAAACAATCATGAGTTAGTACAAGTCATATGGGTGACTTGGGTAGGAAATACCCCAGAGCAGGAAGCATTAACTGCCAAAGAAGGAACAAAAGTGGTCATGAGAAAAGCAATAGAGGAAGAGACATTAGCTTTGCAAAATCTTACTGCCAAAGACACTTAATAAGACCAGTTGCTTTCATCTTCCAACTTGATTTACCTAGTCAAGTATTTATAATGTTTTTATTTACTTGTGAGGATTTAGGGAAAAGATTCAAAGACCAAATCTTGACTACCTGATGTTACATACAGAGTCTATATACAAACTCCTTTAATTCTGAAAAAGAAATTAAATTAATATATCAGGCATGATTCTCTTACCTCTAAGTACAGATTACTGACTGTCTTTCTTATGCTTTATAGGCTTCTGTGTCAAATGACTTTTGGGTAGGTTAACAGCCATGTGTTTTTAATACTTTTGGAACAAACATAAGTAGGCAAGCATTCACAAAGAGCTTGTTTTTAATTCACCTGACACTAAGTCACTGAGCAAAGAAAACACAAAACTTAAGTCAACCTGTAGTTAAGTTAGTGAGTATTCTGTCTTTTATTTTGTTTACTGTTGTTGTCATTGTTTGCTTACTTCTGTGCCATATAGTACATTTGAAGCTGTTTCTTTTTCTTTTTCTTTTTTTTTAAGGCTCTTTCTAACCTCAGCCATGATGAGGCAATTCAATCTAGTGAAAAGACCTTAAATCTGAAACCCAGGAAGACCAAATTCTATCTTGGCTCTGACAGGAATTACCACGTAATCATCAGCAAGGCTCTTAACATCTCTCACCTTAGTTATTAATTGAAATAAAAGTCAAAGCAAAGTGCAGACTATTCAGAATGGGAGGGATGGGAAGAATATCATGGACCAAAGTTATAAGAGTAGAGGGGAGACTAGAATCCCAATGTAAGCATAGAGGGGAAGAAGCAAAAAGGAAAAGAAATACAAAGTACTAAGAAATCAAAATTAAGAAATCCAATAGACTTACTGCAGAATTCTTATCTTTTTCTTTAATCATTTTTTTTTAATTTATTTTCAGCATAACAGTATTCATTGTTTTTGTACCACACCCAGTGCTCCATGCAGTCCGTGCCCTCTCTAATACCCACCACCTGGTTCCCCCAACCTCCCACCCCCCCACCTCTTCACACCCTTCGGATTGTTTTTCAGAGTCCATAGTCTCTCATTGTTCACCTCCCCTTCCAATTTCCCTCAACTGCCTTCTCCTAACTCCCCATGTCCTCCATGCTATTTGTTATGCTCCACAATCTTTAAGCAAAGAGGAGGAAGACTGAAAAGAGGTGGAGGGCATAAGGGGGCAGAAAAGGAAGAACATAAGAAGAAGGTGTGGCATGACAGGGTGGGGTGGGGGGAAGAAGAGCTCTGATAAAAATAAAACCAAACCAAAAAGGAAAGGAGCAACCCACCAAAAAGCATAATAAAGATGGTAAAAGGAAGTATAAATGACAAAAAACATGGAAATTATATGCAATGAAATATATAAATTCTATGCCCATGAAAGAGAAATTAATGTAATATAAATAAAAACTTTAAAATGACATTTTAAGAGGCTGCAGATAAGAGGAAGGGGTGACATTTAGGGAGAGGAGCACTAAGTGCAAGCTAGCTTAATGATCAGAGGATATGTGACTTGGCATCAAATCGGCATGGGTTTGAATAATATCTCCTTAATGTGTTTGTGTCCTATAGAAAGTTACTTGGGTCCTAGCTAATCCAATAAGACAAGAAAAGGAAATAAAAGGCATGTACATTTGGGAAGAAAGAAATAAAACTGTCTTTGTTAGCAAATGACATGACTGTTTACACAGAAAATCCAAAAGAATTAACAAAAAAAGTTCCAAGAACTAATAAGCAATTATGGCAAGGATGTACAACAAGGTTAATTACTTTTGTAAATACCAGCAATGAATAAGTGGAATTTGAGTTTTAAATCACAATATTATTTACATTGGAATCCCCCCAAAATGAAATAGATATGAATCTAACAAAATATGTACAAGGTCTGTATGAGGAAAGGCTCAAAACTGTAATAAAAGAAATCAAAGAACTAAATAGATGGAGAGGTATTTTATGCTTATGGATTGGAAGACTCAATATTGTCAAGATGTCAGTTCTTCCCAGTGTGACCTATTGATTCAATGCAGTCCCCATCAAAATCTCAGCAAGTTATTTTGTGGGTATTTTGTTTTTCTAAAGTTTATACAGAAAGGCAAAGGCCTAGAATAACCAACACAACATTGAAGGAATGGAACAAAGTTGGAGGACTCACATTACATGACTTAGACTTACTAGTATAGCTACAGTTATCAATACAGTGTGATAATGGTGAAATAACAGATAAACAGATCAAGAAAACAGAGTCC